GCAGCTCAACCAGTAGATGGAAAGAATACAATCAGAAAGCTACAGCCCTATTTTATATTTGCTACTTACTAGATAAGCTAATCTTTAACACTGCTATATACCTTGTCTATAAGTTGGAAATAAAAATGATCCTACTGGGCACATGGAACAATTAAATGAGATAAGCACATATACAAAACAAACATTTGTTGTATGTTTCTTAAAAGTACAGGTTGATGGCAGGTATGGTGGTTTATGCCCACAATTCTGGATACTTAAGATGGATCACAAGTTCAAAGGCCACCTTAGGCAATTTAGTGAGATCTTACCACAAAATAAAAATAAGACAGAGATGTAGCTCACTGAGAAGGCCATGATTTCAAGCTATAGTACTTCAAAAGCAAAGCTATATCCCTACTGAAAACACCCCTACTCTGAAAATCTAAAATACAAAATGCTTCAAAATTGGCAATTATAGCCAGGAATGGTGTGGCACACCTGTAGCCACTCATGCAGCTGAGGCAGGAATATTGGCATGAGCTTGAGACTGGCATAGGCTATATAGTGAGTTCAAGGCCAGTATAAACTACATGGAAAGACTCAGTCTCAAAAAAAAAAAGGAAACTCTCCAGGTTCAACATTAGACACAAGTGGACAATTTCACCTGGGACCTCAAGGTCACAGCAAGAATACAGGCACAGTAAACATAAAACTCAACTTCATAGTATTTCCAGCTATGTGTGCACATGAAACATAAATGCTTAGCCTTAGGTCCCATCTTTATGACACCTCACTACATATAATGCAAATATACCAATTTTCTTTTTTAAATCCTTGCTGAATTCAAGTACCTATAATATTTGAACTGGTATCAAGTATCAAAAGGTCCTTTAAAGACTTCTCCTAATACAGCTTCTCCAACAGCAATGGAACACCCATCTCTGACAAAACAAAACAAAAAAGGATATAAATAATGAACCATTTTGTAGTGAGGAAAAAAATATATGTATATACAAGATAGTCAGGATAGATATACAGCTACTTTCTCTTAGTTTAATAAGGTTTGTACTAATATAGTTTAGACAAGGTATGTGTCTACATCTTGTCCTCTGAATAACTACTATGAAGACAATATGCAATGTATTAATTATTTTAACTGTCCTACTAATCTGTTTTGAAACTTTCATTGCTATTTTATTTTCTCATTAAAATAAAAAAATTTTAAAAATTAAAAAAAATCGCAAACGTGCAATAATTTTGCCCCTAAGCATTTGGGAATTTTTTAAAAAATCTTTTACTACAGATTTTTCTAATCCAAATATTTTTTAATCCAAAGAAGAGAAAAAATTCTTTAAAAAGAACCCATAATAATCAAATACTCAAAAGCTAAAAACTTCAAATCTCCTATGTGCTAATATGATGAGCAACAGAACTTCACAATTTCTTTAGTTTCCACATGGCAAAATTTGACATTAGTGCAGTTCTATGTAAGTAATGTATTAAAACAATCATTCCAAAAGTACACAGTAGGTGTTAATTACCATGTACTGAAATCAACATTACATTAATTACCATTGCATTAAAACATTTCAATAAACAAATAGCTTCTTACTCTGAAGTCATTCCCAAATCAGTATATTGGCATTATGGTCTGCATTTCCCTGAGCTATTTAGCAGAAAATCAAAAACATCTTGCATGGCATGGTATATGTTTTCCTAAACATAATTTTAGAAGGTTATCTGTTATTTGTCCCAGGGTTACATTCAAGGGGTGGGGAAAGGCTAACTTTATCATCTAGGAATCTTTTCCATACTGCATGAATTTTCATGCATGCTGCATTTCAGTTACAATTTCATTAAACAAAGTAAATTCTTGAGTAGTATCTTGTACATTAGGAAAGGGGTATTTTGACCTTTTCTAAATGTTCCAAATACGGTAAAAACGCACTTTTGTCTTTAAAACAAACATTTCTTACTAGATTTATTGTATATTGTTAAAATTTATTTTATGTGGTTCAAGAGCAGAACTGTTACCCGTAATTTTGTCTACTGGTCAAGATTATGGTTGTTCTATGAACGTATGAGGTGGGCATTTAGACAGAGACATAAGGAAGATTTTCCTAAACGTGTCTGTAAAAAGCATGAGAAGAAGGGGGTAAAAAATACACTCAAGTGTCAGCAACAGTGGCACATGTCTGTAATTCTGGCACTCAGGAGGCTGAGGCAGGAGGATGGGTGAGACTTTAAGGCCAGTTAGGCCAGCCTGAACTACATCGAGACTCTGTCTCAAAACAAACAAACAAACCAAACAAACAAAGAACAACAACAACAAACTACTTGAGTAAGACAAGGGCTGCTTGAAGTAGTATAATTTCACTCTGAGTTGCAGAAGACTGAGTGGGCAATACTGTATCTCCACAATCCCCTTGAGGAAAAGGAAAGCAAGCATTATCCCAAGTAAAGAGACCAAGCTCTCTTCACAGTTCTGACATTACCTAGCAGTATGGCCTGGGGATAGTCATTTCCATCTTTGGGTTTAATGTTTTAATTTGTAAAATGAGTAATGGATCACATGAGGATTTCCAAGTTCTTTCAAGTTCTAATCACCAGCCAGCTTTCAAGTGGCTGTTTGCTTATCTTTTTGCCTGCTCATCATACACGCAGTAACTCCAAAACTACTGAAATGGTAGCAGGAGCTCTGGCTAGGCAGAAAGAGCGTGCCACCAGCAATGGCCAAGCATGGCTTATTGTACTAGGGTCTCTTTTAAACACACTAGAGAATGTTTTGATCACCAACTGAGAGACACCACTCATTAGTGCAGATATAGAAGGCCTTGGGGGTCTAGTATGGGCAGAAGGAAGGAGTAAGCACCCACCCCATATCTAGCTAAAACACAGTAAAACTGGGAAGCACTATAGATAACATCTAGCAAGGCATCTAATTTTATATAAGGGAATAGTAAGTCTCACACAGGAGAACTGAGCAGCCCTAAGATGCCTATCAGGCTTATGTGAGTAGATGGATAAATACTTGAGCTTTTCCACTCCATGTGAGCGATCTGCTCAACACCTATCAAGATCACAGTCAAAAACCCTGCTGTTACTTGGGCATGGTGATGCACACATATAATCCCTGTGCTCCATGCATATAATCCTCTAAAGCTAAAGGGCAGGACTACAAGTTGAAACCCAGCCTGGACAACCTGGTGACCTCGTGAGACCCTGTCTCAAAACTTTCAAAAAGGAGGTGGCTGAGGAAATAGCTCAGTGTGAAGCTCCTGAGTTCAATCCTAGGACCAAAAAAGCAAAACCAAAAAACCTTGTATTAACTGATCTGGCTTTCAGAAATAATCTAGTAAATGAGGTAAGAGTTCTATTTGCTTAAATTGACTTCAGTTTTCACATCAGAGAAAAGTACAAAATACCACTGGATTATACTAAGGGGAAAATAACCTGTCTCTATGGTATCTTACACTTTTCAATTTAAGCAATAAAAGAGGGATAAAATACATAAATAGCAAACATCTTTTAAAACCAACTCTGCATCATTCCCTCAGATCTTGGGCTTAGGTTCAGAACATCCATGAGGTCCTTACCATCCCGATACAGAAGAGGACAAAGAGCAGTAGCCATGGTACGTCTGTGCAGCTACGGTCTTCCAGGGGCTTCCACTCTCTTTTGGAGCTCTAATAGAAAATACAAAATAAGAAAGCATAATAAGGGTCAAGTCCAGCTAAAACTAGAAAGGCACAAATATACCAATCACACCTAGGTCCCTTTGTCAGACAGGTTTCTATAGAACACTTAATATTTGTCACCTTCTAGGTGAAGCTCATTTCTGTGACAAACACATAGAAAATCTCTCAGTGTGAATGAGAAATGGGAAGGTAGTGGTTCCACGATGGTGGCGGGAATACGTATTAGAAAATGTCACTTCCTTGGCCAGCACCACGTTGCCTCCATTCCCCATTTCTTCCTGGCCAGACACAGTACTACACTGGTGCTTTTCTGATACTTTCACTAAACATGCTGAACTGTTATTCTCAGGGGTCAGGCTGTGTTCCTGTGAGCCTCACACTTGGGAGAGACCATTCTCATTCCTCAACATCTGACACAACACTAAGGGTTTATGATTCTCAGTCAGGGCTTTTTAAATGAACAAACAATAAATAAATTCCTCCAATCTTTTTGTGTGTCCAGATGCTAGTTGTATATATTAGAAAATGCTTTCTTCTGCAAAGTAAACCTATCAAAACGAGTGCCTATTAGTAGATCCTTCTCATTCAAATAAAATTCATGAAAGGAAAGTTTAGATTTTTCTGGAGCATCTGAGCAACTCCTAAATTACCATCTATGGATTTTCATTCTATTCCTAGAAAACATAGATTAAAGAGTTTCTAGATAAAACACATATTGCATAATTGAAAACCCAGACAAAAAAGAAAACCCAGAAACATTCTAAAAGTTAATTTGTAAAGTACTGACTGAAATTCCAATTGCATTTTTTTATTTGCAATAGTTTCTCAGGTCAGCTCACATACATTTCCATTAAAATGTAACAACTAAAACTGTTGAACTTTCTAACGAACCCTTTAGTCTTGAACCCTCTCCTATAAAACAGAGCACACAAGGCAAGAAGGCAGTGTGAAAAGTTTCCTGCCACAGGAAGCCTGAGACTTCTAGTGGTTTCCACAACAAGACCCAGGAAGCTGTCTGGAAAGCCTGTCAGTGGGAAGGGAACCTGCAGAAGGGAGCTGGACGCCAGAGTCCTGTGGAACAGTTAGTACTGTACTTGGAGTACTGCCAGGACTACTTCTACCTCATTCTAAAACAATAATTTTACACAGTATGTCCTTTACACTGTATGATAACCTGACAAAAGCTACAGACTCTTTTCATATAATATAAACAAATATCACATCATTTTCAAAAAAGTTCAAGGAATTCAGACTCTGGGTTAAGTAACACTATCCTGAATTAGTTTTCAATCAATACAGAGGGCAGAGAACTGAGTTAGAATCACTCCTTCCTGTCTCCTGCAGTGTAAATCAGACAAATGCTTTGTTATTTCCTTGTATGTTCATCTGTTAAAACAAAAATACTCAGTTTGTTCCCAGACACCCACACAAGAAAACAAAAGAGCACTAGTTAGTCATGGAAAAAACCTTGTCCCTTGATGGTAGCATTAAAAACCAAAAATGAGTAGGCAGTTTTTTTTTCCTAGAGGAATGCAGCACTATAGCATAATAGATATGGGACTGGTCTCCCTGGCTGTCATTAGTTGGCTAGCAACGTGACTAGATAAATTGCTTCATCTCTCTGGAAGGAGTTAGATTGGACCTTATGTTTCTCCAACCCTAGAAATCTACGATCAGGAATGCACTTTTGTGATGATAAGAAAAACAACTGCAAAATAATTTGACATTATTCCTTGTATTATTCAAATTAGAATGTTTGAATTATGCTCTGCATTTTAGAAGACAGTAGCTCACAGTGTGAAGAATGTTTCTTTGTATTAGACAATTTCAATCTTGAATAATGCTCAATTATAATAAAATTACAAACACAGAATCTGGACATCTCTTCAAAATCATTATACTTATTCTGTGGTAATTTATAAGGCAACAGCAACCTTAACATATTTTATTCATCTTAAAAAACAACAAGAATGGTGGAAGAAAAAAAAAGAAAGAAAGAAAAGAATCCTGGGTTGGCCAGATAGCTCAGTGGACTAAAGTGCTTTAGCACAGGGCAGCGGCCAGGCTGGCCCTGCCCCTGGGGCACACTGAGAAGGCTATTGAGACTGGGTGTGGTGGCACACACCTATAATCCCAGTACTTGTGAGGCTGAAAACAGGAGAATCACTACAAGTCCAATCTACATAGTGGGACCCTGTACACCCCGTCCTAAATTCATTTAAAAATAAATAAGTAAACAAAAGAATGGTAGAAGGGGAGCCTCAGGTTGGTTGAATAGTTTCTTTAACCACAACTATTTTCTTAGTATTTTTAAAACCTATATTCAGTTTGTTAATGCTTAAATTTTCATCCATGACATGAATAGCTTCAATCTTCACAAGAAAAATACAGTCAACATCAAGAATTCAATCCAACTTGCTGTGAGCCATTTCTGTGCCAAATACATAGAGAATCTCTCAGTGTGGATGAGAAGTGGGAAGACGGTGGTTCCATGATGGTGGTGGGGTTATGTATTAGAAAATGCCACAATCCAAAGCACAATGCAAGACCAAAAGGACAGTGTGGTCACCTTTACTCCAACAAATGCTTCCTGGTGAGTGTAGGGCGTGGTTCACTTTACAGGCTGTTTATAGACAACATCTGAGTATCTACCACTTAGTAAACCTTTAATCTTCTTTTTTTATGGGGTGGTACCAGGGAATCAAACTCAGGACCTTATGCTTGCCAGGCAAGCACTTCTTCTACTGAGCTATCTCCCCAGCCTCAAATACTGATCAATATTCTCTTTTCAGTAATTCCTTTCCCTGTTGCTAAAATATCCTTTCACCAGGTAGCCCTTTCCATGAAATGAGATTTTAAAAAAAATAACTTTCCCTTCCCCTTAGACTTACTAAAACAAAACAAAACTTAATGATATATTTTATTTTAGCTATCATTTTTAATCCTGTCAGGGGTCAAATACCATTAACTAGGCCCTAGACCCAAAGTTTACATATACTGTCTTTTAACTTCAAAATAGCACTGTGATATAAATATCATCCCTTTTCCACAGATAAGGAAATTCAGGCTCAGAAATTAATCAGTGTGAAGTCTTGTAAGTGGACAATAAACACTTGAACCCAAATCTGTGACTTCAAAGCTAACCCTAATGAGACTATCATGTCTTCACCTGTCAGTAAACAGCAATTTCCTCCATCAGTGTTTCTTCACATTACAAACTGTGGAAGCCAGGCAGATAATTCAAAATCTTATAAATGCAAAGTTGAAATATTTCAATGATTTTTTTTAACAGATTTAACCAAGTGGCAACTGGATTTAATGCTTTTTCTTCCAATTAACATTCCACATTGACCTAGCAAAAGTAAAATATTTTCAAAAAGTACTTTTTAAATGTGATTTCATGCCTTTGTCAGATTCTATGTGAGATTAATTCAGGCTGTCAATAAATATTAGGTCTTTGCCCCTCAAAGAATGGTACAATTTAGGAACTAAAAAGAATCAAAATAACATGCAGTCCAAACATTTAATAGGAATGAATGGGACTCAGGGAAGGAGAGGGAAAGGATTTATCCAAGCAGACACATTTATTTTATCCAGTATATTTTATAGAACAGGAAACCCAAGTTTATGGGAAATTATGCCTCAATGTAGCAGAGATTGAAATGGTAAGAAAGAAGTCAGGAATTACTATAAATTTTTAAAATAACAAAATAAACCTGGCAACAGAGATAAAGAATACCTTTCTCAGGCTCATTGTTAAACACAACCAAGGAAAGAATAAGTAAATTCAAAAGAGCAAATAAATACAACTACATGAAACACAAAACAGTGGAATTTTAAAAATCAGAATAGAGTATCCCAGAACTACAGGACAGTATCACATGATTTAACACATTTGTAATTCAAGCCCAATAAAAAGAATAAAGCAGAAGTATTTAAAAAATAATAACTGAAAATTTTCCAAAAATAATAAGGGGGGAAAAAGTATAGATCTAAGGAGTTAGTGAATCCCAAAAAGGATAAATACACACAGATCCCTCTACTTATATTCAAACTGCTGGAAAAAAATCAAAGATACAAAGATCATACTGAAGACAGCCAATGGGGCCATAAAAAGACAAATTACATTCTTCTTAGAAACCACACAAAGTAAAAATGGTAGAATGATTAAATTTCTAAAAGGAAAACAAAATGCAAACTATTGACTCAGTATCTTTACTAATAGGAAATATTTCTCAAATAAAAACCTTTTCAGATTTTACGTTGGGAGAGAGTATTAGCAGATGTGAACTATGAGAAATGTTAAAGTTCTTGAACATAACTAGATACCAGACAAAACTAAAAGTACAAAAAGATTTGATTTTTCAAAAATGGTTAAAATGAAAATTTGAAACTTTCCATAAAATTTGTAAATATTTATGCATAGAAGTGTGTGAGGGGGCCAGGGAGATAGCTCAGTAGAATAAGCATTTGCCTAGCAAGCACAAGGGCCTGAGTTCAATCCTCGGTTCCACACACACAAAAAAAGTGTAGATTATATAAAGTATAATTGCATCCACATTACGTGGTCTTCTTGCATATTTATATAACGTAAATATTCTATAAGTCAGAATTACAATTTGCAATACAGGTTGGACGCTTCCACCACAGCAATCATTGAAGGATAGGAGCCATGGCCCTCCGCTATCCCATGGCCATGGGCCTTAACAAGGGCCACAAGGTGACTACGAATGTGAACAAACTGAGGCACAGCCGCCATCGCAGATGCCTTGCCAGACACACCAAGTTCGTGTGAGACATGATCCCAGAGGTGTGTGGCTTCACCCCCGAGGAACGGAGCACCATGGAGCTGCTCAAGGTCTCCAAGGAAAAAAACACACCCTCAAACTCATCAAGAAAAGAGTGAGGACACATATCAGCACCAAGAGGAAGCATGAGGAACTGAGCAGTGTGCTGGCCACCAGGAGGAAGGCAGCTACCAAGAAGGA